TTTGACGCGATGGCTTCAAGCTCTAGGGGGAGGCATTCGACTGCGAGCTTTTCGATCTCAATGTCGATATGCCTTTCAGTTCAAGGGGAAGGCGTGCAAGTAGTAGGTTATTCGACCTAAATGTGGATAGCATGAAGGAACCATCATCTCCACCAGAAGAACCGCTTCGTGAGCCTGGTGCGGATGGTGCTGAGACTGGACTATTCATTGACCCAAAATCACCGCAATTCAACTCCGATGATGATGAAGTTCCAGGAAATGTGGCACAAAATGACCATCTTGCACACATGTATGAAGCTGATTATGGTGCAATGTACGGGCCAGAATTTGCGGATATGCCTCATATCGGTGACTATGGGTATTACTCATCAATAAATAATGGTGAGTTATCTTTAGGCATGGAGTTTTCAAGCAAAGAAGAAGCGATGATGGCTATCAAAAATTACAATATCCGTAATTCTGTTCAGTCCAGAGTAGACCGCTCCACGACCGAAAAATATGTATGTTGAAGGCGGGTGAAGGAGATGGCGACATCTGGTAATGGAAAGGCGATGGTGGCATCATATATGGCGGCGGCATCATATATGGCGGCGGCATCATATATAGCTGCGGTCGCTGCTGGGAAGGTACTGCTTGTGCGCTGAGGATGAACCGGAAGCACCTGCTCTCCGTCCACGAGTCGGGGGACGATGGTGTTGTGTCGGTGAACGTCTCTGTCGACGTCGTGAAAATGTCTGCCCTCGTGCATCCTCGGGAAGTAGAAACGGTTTCCCGTTACTGTTGAACCACTCATAATAATCCTCAGCATACATCAAGAAGTCAGAAAAAAATGGGCTCTCTACGTGGAAGACGCCGATGTCGATCCTCCCACAACACGACCCGCCCATGATGCCTCACCAGCCAATCTGCATCTGTCTTACCGCGTCTATCTAAGCTATGCAACTCGTCCATATTGCGAGGTACTTCTGGAATTGGTTGAAAACAACCAAACTGCCGAAGCACGCGATCAGTGGAGTGCCACTCGACGGTCGCATAACAGATCAGAGGGACCATCGCCATCCAAACATCTAATGGACCCCTCAACTCAGGTGGGATCACCGCCCTCACATCATCAGTAGAATATGGCACCCATTCAAACTAAAACAAATAATATATAATTTTTATCAAAATAATAATCTAATTATATAACTATAATCTAAAATCGATTTTTAAACATTAAAATTCATACATGTGTGCCAGCCTTCTGATCGATTAGCACCCTAATCTTTTCTAAATCATCAGGTAGCTCCTGATGATTTTTCCTATCAGTAGACCACCTATTCAATGAAAAAAATTTTGTTATACGCTGTATAAAATTATTAATATACAAAATCAGCTTTATAATTAACTCAGAAGTAGTGGAAATACGAATGAGTTCTTCACAACGGGACATAAAAAGGGCAATCGATACCATGCCCAAGACTGCAGCAGCAAAAGACATCCGCCGATAGTATTACGCCTGTAGTCAGTGGCTCCACACATCTCCCTGTATAGCAAAGCCAAAACTGCCGAGCCCCAACTGAATGATCCAGCGAGACGAAAGTCGCTATGATGTCGCAACCACATGCAGTGAACTAGGTTACGCGATTTGTCTGGCATCAGCAACCCTCCTATCAGTTGCAATATGCATGCCCGTGCATACATCTTAACCTCATCCTCAGAGGTGTCTGCGCTCAACTCCCGAAAATTGGCATCTAACCAATTTAACGGTATCCTACCTCCGATAAAATTTTCTGGGACACGTCCTAGACTATCCCGACACAAAGCAGTCCAAGAACTGAAAGCTATCCCCGATATCACATCTCCATCCACCGGAAGCCCCAGGTGCATGGAAACATCCTCAAGCGTGATCGTGCACTCTTCGCACGGAAGATGAAATGTGTGGGTCTCCGGTCTCCACCACTCTACTAAGGCAGAAATCAGGTCTGGCTCTATCTTACAGTGACCCTGATATCTACCTATGTAACCGAATCCAGCCTCTACTAAATACGGCAAGACACGGCTGGGTATCACTAACTTAATATTCCTAATAAAAGGATCTAATACACAGTCCTTCTCTTAAAAATAAATAATTACAAAAATTAATTCTTAATCTAATAATCATGCATTAAATGAATCAACTAAATATTACTAATAATTTAAATTAAATTAAAACGTTAAAATGTTACCGTATCAGCAAAGTATAGAGATATATGATTTCCATCCGAGCGAAGTAGACTGCCTTCCATTATATATCTGTAAAAGAATTATATTAGTAAAATATTAAATAAAGTAAAAATATAATAGTAAAAATATTATAAAATATACCTTAAAAAGAGAGTATTTGAGAGAAATTTAGAGAATTTGAGAAAATTTGGTGTGATAAAAGTGATTGAGGATGGGGTATTTATAGGGAGGATAGGGACGTGAATTAGGGGTATAGCGCGCCCCCTGCACCGCGCTATACCCCACGTGTCAGATATACAGGTATAGCGCACTTCAGGGGCCGCGCTATACCCACGTGGCGCCAGCTCACCGTATAGCACGGTGCAGGGGACGCGTTATACCCCACGTGACGCCAAATTATCGTATAGCGCGGTGCAGATGACGCACTTTACTGCTAAGGATGTTAGATCGAGAAATATAGTATGACCGGTGTTAGATCGAAAATATTACCGGTCACCGATAATATATCAAGAAAATCGCCGTGATATGAATCAAAACGAATCAAATAAGTTAAGTAAAAAAATATTGAGTTTTACTGTATTTCATAATTTAAATTTTATTTTTAAAAAATTCAGTCGAATAGAATTGTTCTAATTTTTATATAAATTTATAGTTATTTATAATATTACTGTATGTCATCAGGGAGGTGATACAATTTGTTTTGAACAAAAATTGAAAATATTTTTAAAGGTTGGAATATCGGATGACTTACAACAAATTGGATCCTTATATTTTTTTTTATTAAGATCTTTAATTTGGTATGAACTATATCTTTTATCATTTCCGAACCTGAATCATAATCACATGCTATTATATTTTGTACTCTATCATCTATAATATTTTTTCAAATAATTTTATTTTATTATATCTTTGTATTGTATTTTTTTTTCAAATTAATATAATATGATTTCATTATACAAAGAGTTGAGACTTAATATAAATAATTGTATCTCTAATAATAATCATTCAAATAAAAATATCAAACCATTTAACAATAACCTAACGTAATCATAAACCCCCAAAAAAATAACAAACCATGAATCATATATTATAAATTTCATGTATTTTGTTATATTTTTTATATTTAATAAAAAAATCTTAAATCTATATATGATTATATATTTTTTATATAATCTATAATATTAACATATACATTTTTATATTTTTATCCTAATAAAAAGGTAAATTTAAATCTTTAAATCCGAATATATTAATAACCCCTAAAAAAGCTTAAATAAAAAAATCCTTAAATTATGTCTTTTTTGTTTTAAATCCGCAAATTATTTTTAATCGAAACAAACTCTTAAACTATTATACGTAATCATTTAAGTACTTAACTATTTTCTAATTAAAATAAGTCATTAAATTATGCCTATGGGTGGTGGTCATCTGCTAGACAACCCTTGTTTTCTCTAGCCTACACTTGGGAGCCTTGGATCCTCACCAACTTTACAAAAGCTGAAACCAATTTCCTGGAAGTACCGCTCCGCTTTCTCAAACCGCCAGGCGCCTACTATGTTCATGCGCCTTTCCATCTCCATATTGAACTTAAAAACCATCCCCCGCATCCTTCCACTCCGCCACTTCATTTTCCTCTTATACTAATCTTTGGGCAAGCCATTCAAAGATGGAAGCAATGAATGTGTCTTCATCTTCTACATCAATATCATCTGATACATGCACTCATCTTTCTCTGCAAGGTCTTCCAACAAAGCTGAAAGGATCAATGTCCATGGAGTGCGGAGGAGGATAGGGTTTTGACTCGCCTTGTCCAGAGATATGGAGCTAAGAACTGGCCTTTGATAAGCCGTTACATCAATGGTCGGTCCGGAACCGGAAGTCTTGCAGGCTTAGATGGCGTAGCCAGCTCAGCCCTAATGTGGAGAACCGTCCGTTTTCGGAAGCCGAGGACGAGACTATCTTGGCCGCTCATGGTGTGTACGGTAACAGGTGGGCCACCATTGCTAGGTTGCTTCCGGGGAGGACCGATAATTCCGTGAAGAATCATTGGAACTCGACATGGAAGAGGAGGGCTAGAGAAGGGCAAGTACAATCCAAAGGATGAGGAGGAGGTATTGACGGCGTTGACTCTAGCGCTGCCTGGCAGTGGGAGAGGAGGGGAGATGAGACAGTGCCGGCGGAGTTTTGGGATTGATGAGAGATGTTATTACGAGAGAAGTTAGAACATTATGAACAAATTAACACATCAGGGCTCCGCTTCGTTAAGGAAAAAATGTCTTTTTCTGTTGTTTCCGTATTCTGCTGTTGATGTTGATACGCTGATAGACTTATTGTTGCTCAAAGATGTTTGTACTGAATTACTGATGTCTTTGCTCAAAGTACAAAATCCAACTTCCTTGTATCCTGTCCAAATTGGACATCAAATTAATTTGGGAAGCAGGCTAAAAAAGTGTTAAAATTTACTTAACATGGGGGCCAATTACTTGGTGGTCGGTGGGGTTCTTTTGAGGGAGGGTCGAAAAAGCATCGTTTCACTTTGCAGGAAGCATACATGTTTTTAAAATATTTTAATTCTATATATGCATATAGATTTCATTCAACAAGGAAACAAGAAAGTCAATTCCTTTGTTTGACATAAAACTAAATTCACCACTTATACCTGATAAAAAGGAAAAAAATAAGACGATCAAAATGTATATCAACAATCGACAACTTTATTCCTAATATTCGAACCCTTGGTTTATTATAGAGGCCTCTCCCAAATGATTGGCCAATTTTATTACTGCTGATCACAGCACTGCGTTTCTTCCATTTGTGAGTTGTGTATCAAAGGATTTCAAAAACGTGGCCAAGGGACAACAACCAGCTTCATCTGCCCATCTTTGCAGTCATTGGCTTCACCAGAAGCCAAGTAGAAAACCCTCCATTGGTTTAACACAAATCGGAAGCCATCACCTTCTCCTTGTGTCGTATTGGCCAAAAGCTTCGCTTTACTGAAATCGCATTGTAAGTAACTCCACAAGTTTGGCAGCATGTAAACGCTATGAGCTGTTGTGTTATCATATTTGAACACTGAATTGGTATACAAAAAATCAGTATCGTAGAAAAAAGAACCAAAAAGGAACTCAATATATATGGTTAGGGTTGTAATGAAGCACCTAAGGTGTCCTGGAAGCAGAAGGGCGCTGTGTTGGCCGCCCATTCAGTGTAGTTGTAGCCATACCGCCAGTTCTCGGAACCTCCGACGATGACTGTTGCGGCTTGAGTGAGTGTCAAAAGAGAAGCAGCTATTGCGACAGAGAGGATGATTTGTTGAGCATTGAAACCAGAGGAAGCCATCTCTCAGGTTTCTTTAGTTACTTGGTAATTGAAGTGATGAGATGGTGATGACAATGGGAGAACGAGTTAATAGCTTATATAGGAAAGACATGGCATTGCTCTTCAATGTGATCGTCCTCTAGAATCACATATTCTTTTCTCATTGGCTAAATTACCTTAATATCACAGCTGAAATATGTTGGTCATCGAAGGAAAGGGTGTGAATTGTCATTTAAGAGAGTTGAACAACAACATTTGGTCATAAAATATTGGGTGGAAACCCAATAGGTACAGAAGGGTTTGGATATGATTAGGTAATGGTTATTAAGGTCATTAAAATACAACTTGTGGGTTAGTTAAATGAAATGGTTTTCAATGTTAAACACTCAATGGTCATTTGACGGTATTTCTCCCATCTCTTTTACTTGGGAGTTGGATGTTAACTAAAACCTCTTTTACTTGGGTTAATATACTATTTGGCACTTGAACTTGATTTTGGGTTTCAAATTGGCACTTATACTTTTTTTAGTCCATATTGGTACATGAACTTGGCTTCTGTCGCATGTTTTGGTATCTAAACTTCTTCTGTCACTCATTTTGGCACATTCAACTATGGTGAAGCCAAGTTCAGGTTCCAAAATGTGTGATAGAAGTCAAGTTTTGGTACCAATTTGGACAAAAAAAAGTATTAAGTATCGGTTTGAACCATGAAGCCAAGTTCATGCACCAAAAAATATATTAACCCTTGTAGTAACGACCTTAGAAGCTTCAATATATTACCCATGTTTTATATGGTTTTATTTAGACCTATAAAAAGTTTGATATTCGGTATGCATATGACACCCACAAGCATCTATGGGGAAGGGTAATTCAATTTTGTTGTAGTTGGAAAATTCCTTAGATGAAGAGTTAGAACAGACAGCTTAACTACTGTTAGCCATGATACTTGGGACCTTATCTTTGGGGAAATTCTGACGCCTGTCTTTATGAACAAAGCATATTGACGAGTTTACATATGTTTATAATCATTGTATGTTGGCATTTTGCCACTCATGCATTATTGTCTCTTGCTAACAAATTTGTTGCTCAGACTACTGGACCAACATTTGAGAAGATAAATAGGAATGAGCACATGATGTTGGTTGTGCAGTATGATTACTTGCTTAGCCCAAGTGCAAATGAATGTTTTATTGAACAAGGTCCTCCCCTTCAATCGCCACTCCCTGGCCATGTTTGGCATCCGACACCTGTGGGGGATTTTCCTCTTTCTGGTAGAGATAAATCTATTGATCTTTTACCTATGTATGGGGATTGATTCATGATATTTTACTGTGGAGCAATGAATAAAGATGCTAGCATTTGGCCTTTGAATATGTAAATGATGCAAAACCTTCCTGGTGATTGTTTAATCCGCCTTTTCTCCTCCCAAAATGCAACACCAACGAAAGACTGGTCACCACCATTATAGGGTATTCGATCTTCATGTACCTTTTAATCGACCGGACAAAGGAAAAAAACAAACAGTTACGTGGAGGAAGATGGATGTAAGAAATAGTGTGACTGATATTCCAACAATTTAAGGGTTTCTTTCCATAGCAATGACAACAAAAAGGTTGACAAAAATCTGGCAAAAAACACAAGTTATACAAGTAAAATCACTCAACAGCGGGACAATGCTGTTATATGCAAAGAACCCAGTTTCAATAATCAACATCAAGTGGTGGGGGTTTGAGGGGATTGATATTCTTGCTGTGGTTGGCGTTCAGTTGGTGTTAAAACAGAAGTAGCTGACGAAGCATTAGACCTTGGTGGTGGCTGGTGAGGATATATCCTGCCATCAATGCAAGAACACTTTGTTTCGATCCAACTTTCGATGTCGAACTGACCAACGCTCATGACTTTCAGGCCAGTGCATAGTCGTCCGATCATGCTGGTCACAATGCCTAAGATTGTGATCACCAAAAGTACAGCTATAAGAGGAGCAATAGAAACATGAGCGGTGTGAGAGTTGTAATATGGCTCCTCCGTTACAGCCACCTCCGGTGGTGGCTGTTGCGCTACCGTCATCGACATTTCAGCACTGACCCAGAACCAGAAAAAGGACTAAGAACTTGGTTTTCAACTCAAGTCTTGAAAATGGTTTGGGGTATTAAAGAGAAACAAGAGGTTACACATATGTATTGCGTGTTGCAATGCACAAGGGATAAGAAATTGGGCAGTGAAACAATGTGTGGAACCTCATCTTCATCTGAGAGAGAGAGAGAGAGAGAGAGAGGAGAGAATGAGGAAAAAGAGATTCCCTTTGTAAGTATGAGAACTTACAACAACAGTTGGACCTGGTCACTTAGGAAGCTTAAATATCATGACTTTCTCGATGTTTATTTTTTTAATGAAATATTATATTAATTTTAGATTTATTATTTAATACAAATACTTTGTAGAAAAAAAAGGATATAATAAGTATTATAACCAAAGAACAGCAACAAGCTTATAGAAGAGTACTAGAATATCTCACAAAATATGATTCGAGTGAATGAAGTATCATAGATCAGGTCGTGGCTTCTGAACCGAGTACTGCCTATTGGTGAGTGGTGACGGATGGAAAAAGATGAGTATTTTCAATACCATACGTAAATAAAATTTTCACTTGGAAACGGTGAAAGAGGGCAAAATGCAATCAGAAAAAGGTGGAGGGAATCTAAGTACTATGAATAGGTTAAGGTTAAAGGTTAAAAAGCTTTTTCAGACAAGGCCTTTTGAAAAACGTCGAGGAGGGAGAGGAGGTGTTGCCCTACTTTTCTGATTTACCGGAAGAAACCATGTATGTATGCATGCATGCATGTTCTTAAAGGGTTTTGCAGATTCCAGTGGGGACCTCAATCTCACATGTATATGTGCATGGTAGCTGAGCTCAGTGATAATGGAGTCAAAGATCTTATAAATGACAACTACTCATATTTATAACCTATACCTCTTCAGTTAACATTTCACCAACCCTTGTTCATAGTAATGCCAAGCTCTTCATATTTTGCATAATGAACCCTCATCAAACTTCATACCTATTTGCAGAATTTCTTACCCTTTTTTTTTTGTTCCAGTAAAACATTAAATGGGTCTGGTCATAGGTTGTATCTTAAGTTCCCAAAAATTGCACAACCATTTCCCAAATAAACGACAACTGCCTTCTGCTTATTCAAATCATCAGTGGTACGGTAAGAATCACATGCACATTGAATTATGTGGGTTAATTCAGGTACACGTCCCCAAACTATGGTTAATATTTTGAATTAACCTCCAGAGAAAGCAGAAATTATCAATGTGAACCTCAAATCCCAGGATTTGATTTGTAAGTTCGAAGACAATAGTGTTTTTTTTTCCAATGCCAAATTAACTTTATTATGTTTCTGTCTAATCAAAACATGCCGCTTGCATATAAACATGAAATATGTCCGAATTGTACCTAATATACAAACAATGTTAGAGGAACCTGGAGGGGACATATTCATTTATTCTTAGCGGATAGCTATAGAACTCCTCGGTTCTAGCATCTCCTTTGCTGTGCTGGAACGGTTTCCACCACGGAATTCCTCTATCGTTCACATGCTTTGCTTCTAACGTGTTATCGAGCATGGTCCCGACGATGATGGCCATTGTTGCAGGTGATGAGAAGATCGTGTTCAATATATCGTTAAACTACATGCATTCGAATGTGTCAGACTGATGAAGCAAAGATCAAAATCAGGTAAACTAATGGAAATGGACCAGCATTTTGAACAGTTATCGAAATTAATTGCAGTAAAAGACCTTCAACTAGAAATCTATGGCATCTTAACTAAGCCAGTAAACATTATGCAGGCAGTAATGTATATCTTGTTGAGCCTTATTCCACATATTAGCATTATTGAGAAATAAAGCAATCACATTATGAACTTACCCATCCAGCATTTGTTCTAACTGGCCCATGACCGTCGCCGGTTGTGTTCATTACAAAATATTGAGGAATTGATAGTCCGAGGAACAGGGAGACGCCCAAAACATAGATGTTTCTCATGGAATTACTATTTGCAAACTGTACGAATGTGATCCCAGAAGAGGCTGCATCGAGAAGAAAGAAAGGAGAGTGGAATTACTGATTAAAGAAGCAATAGAATATCAGATGCAAAAACCATCATGACCACTGAGTCACTCACCAACAATGCCCAATAAAATACAGTATATGGCAGCAAATATTGGCAATGGAATAGAGGCAAAAAATGCACCAAATTTCCCTGAAAGAATGTAAGGTGACCCAATCAAGTCCGAACATAACAAATATAGCACAAAATTTTAAATACAACTAATGAAAAAGTATAATAACAAACCAAATATAGAGAAAAATATCATGAAACCGGTAGAAATCTGCACCACCCTTCTGCTTCCTATATGCGTAAGTCCGAGAAGGCCAACATTTTCACTGCATTATCATTTAGATGAAAAGCTGAAATAAATTTCTCAAGTATACTGCTGTCTATCAGTTATGGCATTTTACTGTTAATAACTACTCTAGAAAGAATGGGACTTCTTATTCAAAAAGCCGTTCAGCCTTACACAGATGCGGTAGTACCAACGAGAGAACCAAAAAGCCCTTCAAGCAACATACCAATGCCCTGCATTTACAAGCAAGAAGAGTAAGTAATCTTCACCAATGACAATAATATTACGGGATTCGGGACTACGTATATCGATTTAGCAAAGCATTGACAAAAAAGTTACACAAAAAAAAAATCCATGGTGGTTTAGGAAAGGACCTGTAAGCCAATACTTCTGCTTAGTACATGTGCAGGAGGGGCTGTCGCACCAGAAAGCCGAGCTGCAGCAAAAAAGGTTGCAGTTGACTGCATATAAAATAGAGGAAAGTTCAGTTAACAACTGATTTCTCTAATTCATCAAGAAAATGCATGGAAGAGCAGACTAATGCTTGAAGTTAGATAGAGTAAACCAAAGAATTAAACTTAGAAAGTAAAGTTATTAAATAGAATTGACATTGTCCAAGATAGCAACTACACCTCTGCGGACGACACAAGTGCAGCACCTATCATCCCAAACACATGGCTAGCTCTGAATATAGGCGTACCCCACTGAAACGGGTAAGGAATTTTAATCCTAGAAACAATGACATGGAATAAGGAATCATAAAGAGTAGTTTTGGAAGATCAGTTAGAACACAATTGTACAAGCAGAGCAGGACATTATGACCATACCAAGGCGCAGAAGACATTAGGTACGATCGATCCGTGCGGCAACTCAGTTTAGTGGCAGTCTTAACATTGTTGTAAGCGCCAGAGACAGTGAGGATGGCAGCAAAAGCCCAAATAATTCCAAAGCACAAAAGCAATGCAAATCTCTCAAGTATTAGATGGGCCCTTGAATGGACACGCTTCAGGTACTGCAGCAAACAAGTTCGGTTGTCAAATTAATTAAGAAGAATGTTAGAACAAAATATCAGAGTGGTTTATATACCTGTTGGGAAAAAACCAGTAAAATGAGCATAGGCAGGCCAATTTCCACACAATTACCAAGCTGTATTATCGGTAACACTTGAATAGTTAGCAGAAGTATACTTGAATAACAGTAAAATAAGTAAAATAAGCGTTTGAAGAAGCGTATTAATGGGATTATTTTACTGTATAATCGGATTATTCAGTTATGGCATTATCACTTGAATAGTAAAACGCTTATCTTACTGTATTATCGGTCCTAACCAAGCATTTAAGTATTCAAAGAGAATTACCAATGGGAAGCCTCTTGCAAACAGACCAAGACCAACGAGACAAACCACCGGTACCATGACTATGGGAGTAAAGAATCTAGAGAGGAAGAGGTTAACAAGAAAACTCTTAGAAAAGTTAGCTGTGAAAACATGATAGTTTACTGACCAAACATCTCAAACCATGAATGGCAAGCAGGCAATGAGCTGCATGCAATAAATAAGATGGATGCACGAATTGATACTTGAAATACCTTGTCAGCTCCCCCCATGCCCTGCCATACCCAAGGATGATGTTAACAAAGGAAGAAACAATTAACGATCCCTGAACCGTTCTTATACCACGAATAAACCGCTGCAAGCAAGCAAGAACTCGAATCAACCATTACGCCATAACTTGTACAACATAACAGCAAAATTTATATCACATTACCTACTGAGAGATGAATATTCCCAAAACTTAAATACAATGCAAAGAACTTTATGATTCATAACTTTCCTATTTGCGTCGCTTATATCATACTAAAGTTTACATACATCATGCTCAGTTGCAAAGACCTCATCGGTGTAATCATTAATGATTGACAACAATGGCAACACATATGCAAACGATACACCCATCACCGTTGGAAGCCTTGAGCCAATAAGCGTTTGAAGAAGCGTATTAATGCCTGACATAAACAGTAACACTTGAATAATCCGGGCTTTATCACCCTGTTCATAACAAAGAAAGGGTTGAGATGCTAAAATGCATCAATCCCATGAAAAAAACTGTAGTAATTGAAATTATTTATAAGGTCATATATTATAACATACATGATTCCCACCCATCCTAGGGACCATAGTACTTGCAATTAAGACTGTAGTACCAAGATTCACAATGAAGTGTTGAAAAGCCAGTAAAAGCGCTTGAGCTGTTCAAGAAGTTGATACTGTGAGATTCATCGCAAAAGATAACAATCCTCAGAACGGTTGAATTTATGCCAATATTCAGCTACTAAAAACAAACAACAGATTTCACCCTAGCTTAGTTGAAAAGGAGAATTGAAATGTACAGAAAAAGAAGTGATAAGTTTGAAGTGCCTTTCAAAGAAATGAAAGAAAATAACCCATAAAGAAAAGAAGAAAAAAAAATCAAAAGTGACTTTAAAAAAATTAAATATGAAAAATATTAAAAGAGATTTCATTGATGTCTAACTTCACCATCGAAGTACAAACATGCAAAAGAAAAGAAAAATACTGGATATGCCAACAAAAAAGCAATCAATTTTAACATAAAATCTTCAACTTTTGTCAGCTTTCTTATTAAATTAAAGGGGGGGGGGGGGAAACTGACGCCATGAAGGATTGGAGTGGATGCAGTATTGAAGCTGATTAAGTTGCTCAGCTGGAGTCCAAGTAGGCCCCCTTGAAAGAGCAAAGTTCGGAGGTACAGTCGGTGGTGCGGCCACTTGCGGTGGCGGCAGGTGGTGATGGTGGTGGTGATTCTCTGTTTCACCCATCTTTTTCTTTTCAGCGATGCTTACTGTAATCTTCTTTTTGTTCGTCTTCACTCGAAACAGAAAGCTAATAGGCTTTTCAGATTCCTAACCAAAAAGAAAAAGTAATAAACGGTTTCGAAGTTTTCCCAGAACTGACAATAAATCATCGAAGCCAAAAGAAAGAATGAAGTAAAGAAATAAGAAAGCAGAAATTAATAAAGAAATTACTTTTGTGTGATGGAAAACATTAAACAGCACAAAGTTCAGTCAGCTCATTTATCTTTACTTTGAAATATAGAGATAAGAGAGCATAGTTGGAGGACGAAGGAGAAGCCAAAAGGGCGTTTAGATGACGTTATGCTTATGATTTGTCGTATTTCGTAGAGAATATACTACACAGCTTTATGAACAAATTAATAATAATAATAATAACATTTTCTTGGGTAAACTGCAAGTTTAGTATCCAACTGGGAATGGGGGAAGCGCGTGGGAGTTACTTTCACTTTCCTTACATTCTCATTGTTCGAGAATCTTACAACGTTGTTTTGTGGAATTTAGCTTTCGTTTTCGTTGAAAATAACATTTGTGCCGCGTCATGCTCTTGAATTCGCTTCTGGAAATTTCAGTTATCGTCTCCTAAACATTTTTTATTGTAGGAGAAATGGTTTTTTTATAAACACATAAAATTGATTAATCAATAAAGCAATTTAATGAGAAAAGAAGATAGGATTATAGCTTTAAGTATCTTTAAAGAAAGGACGCGTTTGGATTGCAGTCAAACCTTTGAATATGGTTTCTTTTAGACTTGGATTGAAGACCTTAAAAATATTAATTATTTAAGTATGCAATCTCTCCAAGCATAACAAAACCTTCTTTCTTTGGAAAAATATAAGTACACGTTTGGAAATTTATTTTATAGTTAAATTTGAGTATAAATTTATAACTATATCATATTTAAATTATTATTGTAATTTAGGAGTTATATTAAATTAGGTGTGATTAAAAATCTCCAAAGAAAATGGTGAGAATTTACATAATTATGGGAGTATTTTCATTCTTTAATTTTATAGTTAATATTTTTTTTTAATTTTATAATTATGTAATCATATTTTGTACTATTAAACATAACATGAAAAATTTAAATGTAATTACATTCTCTCAATCTCTTTTAAAAAATATGATCTTGTTTTTATGCTCTCTCTATGATTACTAGTTTAATAGTAGTCGGGACTCGGGATGTAAAAAAAAGCCTTTATCTACAAATAAATAAAGTATTTGCCCGTCCAGCTCAGGTTAGAGTGCAATGCTCTTAATTTTGTGTTCGTAGGATCAAGTCTCACGGTAGGCAATTTATAATTCTGACTGCCGGAGGTCTTCTACGGAAGCTGTTCTCAACCTGGCGTTGGGTGCAGCCTACTATTCTACCTCCCCCTCACCTCATTACATATGAAAATAGGATCAGCTAATTTTTTGATCTTTATCAACCAATAGACTGATACATTTATAGTTTTCCACAATAGCAAATACAACAATCTTAAATCTCAAATAATACTTTAGTATTATTTTAATAAAATATTTATTGTTAAAATATTAAAAATATATTTATTAATAATTTTTTAAGATATAATATTATAATTTTTATGTTATAATGATTCATAATATTTTAGCATATCAACATTTATTTACATTGATGTAAATTAACTTTTTCCCCTTAAATATGAGTGTTAAACATGTAGTTAAGAACATGTGTAACCTTTTTTACTATATTAATATTTATTTTTATTATTATAATTTTTTTAAACTATAACAAACAACATAAAATAATTTATTTACCATTTACTATTTTTTCAAATATAACTTATTTTATAAAATTCATTTTCAATTATACAAAGTAAGCCAATGGTATGATAAATTCGATTTTTATATATAAAAACTGCAAAATTTTCTTTTCTTTTCTTTTTTTAATTTAAAAGAGGAAATATATGAAGCTATAATACATGTTTTCAATTATATATGTGCAATAAACATATAATTATGACTTATAACCATTGACATAAAAACTAATTGTTTAAGATTATATAATGGGATAAAGCTACTGAAAAGATCATTGATAAACTGTAAATTAGAGTCAAACGACTTGAAAAATCTATCTACGAACACAAATCACGTATCTAAATCCAAGCTGAGAATCCAAAGTAGAGAAGATCAACATGATAACAAATAAACGTTATTTTTATTAGTTATGGCGATGTGAAATCCAACCCTAAAAAAGAATATAAATTAAAACAACGATCAAACGACTTAAAATGTATCATAAAAACAGAAAAAAAAATATGACATAAAAGGCAGAGAAAAACATATTATAAATGTAGAATTATTAAAAACTAAAAAAACAAAAGAAAAATTTTTGTTATAAAAATTAAAGGAAAAATAAGAAATACCGGTGGTAACAATCAACACAAAAGTTAGTGGTGTCGCATGTCAACCAAGAATAAAAAAGAAAGAGATAAAATACTTAAAATATTTTTTAGAGATATACAAACCAGTCCTTAGCCCGGACAAGAGCGACACTTGCCGAGACCCAAACATATAATTAAAGAAGATAAATTATTTATTTGGTCATATATCTATTATTTTATTTTTGTTTTGGTTATCCAATTTTTTTTCAAAGTCATAATGTTACGTTTTGTTTATTTTTATATTACCCACCACTAAAAAAAATTAACAACGATGTTAATGTGGATTTTTAAAAAATTTCAATCTCCACTTAATTATTATTTTATTGTTTTTTACAAGATAGAGAAGGTTAAAATATAATATGTCCTCTTAAAAGAGGATCATGCTTGTTTTATGTGAGTAGTTGGGTGTTTAACAAAATTTCTTAATTTTTTTATTTAAAATTTGATATATTTATTAGATAATTTATTAAATATAATAAAAAAACAATTTATAAGTAAATTTATCTAGTTTTCTTTAGTTTTACGATTCCATTTTTTCATACTAGTAATTAGAAACTTAATTTTTATTTTCAGCATAGAACACTAAAATATCATAAACTGGTCAAGAAATACATGGCTAAGTTTTTAATATAAGGTTTTAAGATGAATTAAAGTTAAATTTAATTGATAAAATAATTAAAAATATTTATATTATCTTAATTGTATAAATTCAAATTTTAACATTTACATTAAAAAGGTAATACGCTTTTTATTTAATAAAAAAAAAGCTTTCACAAGGATTTTGTATCGTGTAATGTAATCCCATGGGTGTGAAATAATGTTGTCAAATCAAAGGTTTACTTTTTTAGCCAAAACAGTACTAAGAGACGAAGCACCGAGCCACCTACATATTGAATCATCCGCTACTGTTACCATCCTTTTAACTTTCTCAATAATTGCATCCCATTCCAATATGAACACAAAACCTTCAACATTAATCCATGGGGTCTCGTCACCAACCTTATCAACATTCTTATTTTCAACCCATTCATTCATCACTCGCTGTCCTCTTTCAATAAGTTTAATTAAATTAATTTATTACCCTACATATACTTAACACCCCATTGGATTTTAAATTAATTTATTACCCTACATTAAAATTATGTAATTATATATATTTTTTATTTCATAAATTTATACCATCCAATAAGATAACAAAACATGATATTCAAACAAAAACAAAGTAAATTAAAATAAATCATTTTTACTTGCATGTTACATTATTAAACTAACGTGAGTTATTAATGACTCCATGATTAAAATAATACATATTAAAAACAAAAATGATTACAATTTAAGATTGATGATCACAGTAAAAGAGATGAAACAAAAATGATCATCTACATAGATTATCCAAAATAATAATATAACTTTTGTTTTAAGCTAATGTGAACATGAATATCGGAGATGATTAATTCGTTTCACTGTGAATAGAAACAATCTTTAAAGCAGTTAGTTGACACACTATTTCTTTGGTTATATATTCAATATTCATTATGAGTAAAATTTCTCTTTCACTCTCTTAAAAAAGAGTTAATAAAAAAATCATTTCCCCCCTAATATAATTGATATTTTATATCATAGAGCAGATATAAAAAATGGTTATCAATTCAAATTATGGCGTTTTGAATCTATAGCAATTGAAGACTTGTTCAATCCAAATGATATACATAAAGAATTCAGGTGATACTTCAATAGACTTGAAAGCCAGTTAAGCTATTGAATTATAAGAACGATTTTGTATTTCCTTCCCTTCAACTAAGAATTGAAGTGTATATAAAATATGCAATCCGACTGTTTTAGTCTAAAACTAGCATTAAAAGTTGTACTAATAATTAACAAAACTAATAATCACTTGATTTTGTATTATTATTACGTTGCACTGAAGCACTAGAAATCAGAAATTCCACAATTAACTGAGAATTTCATTGGAAAATGTAAAGCATGAACAACCACATTGAAATTTAAATTCAGATTCAGAGATCTTAAGCATGGTTGTGGAATACCAACAGCTTTCTCTTTCCACATTTAACACCACATTTGCTGATAATAAGAGTTCATAATCTAGTCAATGTTGCCTTCCAACTTATCTTTCTCGACAGCACAGGATACCTTTCTTCATGTTACACAATCTTGCATTTTTGCTACCAACCTTAAGACCTCCAGTTCTTCACTTTAAATAATTTTCAAAAGGGCAGCCCACTTTCAAGCATGAAATAAGAATGATAATGTAAGCAACGGAATGGGGATAACAACGCTTCAGGTAACAGAGATTCATCAAATTTTCTTTTCTTGATTCTGCCAATTCTATCCATCCTAAATCACATCAGTGAAATGGGTGGTCGTCGAAGATGCTTAATATGAGCCAACTAAATAAATGTGAGCCTTAAAGCTATCCCAGATCTCAAGAAACTGTTACGGCATCCTTCCCCACATGTGCATCATGTATGATATCTGAAACTTTGGACGGAGGCCAGTAGCGAAATACGGACCTCCCAATAATGTTATCAATGGGAAGCGGACCCCTGTGGAAGAAACATGCAAACAAGATGTCAGAAACAAGAAATTATAATCCTAAACAAATTATAGATTCTTTCATGAGATACAAAAAAACATGTAGCATATTTTGTTCCTCAACTCGTAGAATTCATTCCCAAACTAAATGATTATTAGTGGTAATGGGATTTTAGAATTACCAGTTATGGGAATCAAAACTGTTATTACGATTATCCCCCAACACAAAAACATAACCTTCGGGCACAACCTGCAGAAGCCACTCAAAAGAAATCACAAACTCTGTTTTATCAATGCCATCATAAACTCAAAGACCATG